CGCACCACTGATCTGGTATGAAACCTACGCCGGCCGAGCCTCGGGGCCGCACCATGCACTTTTACCACCAGCTTCAGCTCATGCAAGCCCGGATATCAATGCGACCTTCCAGCCAAACAGAAACTAAAGTTGCCCCCCCTTCTCCTGTGAAGCCGTTCGCCTCGAAGCCCGCCGTCCAACGTACCGTACCCGAGGACACACCCTCCACGCTCAAACCAGCTGAGTAACATCTAAACGCCGCTGGCCTCAAGCGGTGTGCTACTAGGGACAAGAAACAGGTCCCCCGGCACTCCGACAACAAGACGAGGGACGTTACCACCCAAAGTAGAACAGGCGAGCTGCAACCATAGCAGAACGCAGCAGCACGGCTCTCCCAGCGTTGTCATGAAAATTGCACAACAACATGTGAAGCATTCGCAGCCTCTGCTGCCAACCACGCCACGGCGAAGCTACCAACCGCACGTATGACCATGAGGATGGCTGTGGCGTTGAGGAAATGCTGGAGATTTTGCACACGCTTGCCCTTGCTGGAGTTGTTGCTCACCATTGGCTTGCAGGATCCCCAAGGCATGACGACGTTGTCACCACCGAGGTCGTCAGCTTCGATGTCTGCGTCATGCGCAGCGCTGAGATACAGCTCCATGGCTCTGATGGTATACATGTAGGATGTGTGAAGGGGTCGCGGTCTTCCGGCACTTGAGCCCCCACCCCAGGGGAAGAAAAGCAATCAGGCAATGGTATAATCCAAATGGCTACAGATATCTCTTCTTCCTCATCCTCCTCCTCCTCCTATTCCTCCTCCTCCTCCTCCTCCCTTCTCCTCAACCCTTCTCCTCATTCCCGCCATCCCTCCTCCTCCGCCTGCTCATCCTCCCTCCCTTGTCCTCCTCATTCCCTGCCTCCCTCCCTCTCTTGCCTCCCTCCCCCTCCTGCTCCTCTTGCTCCTGCTCCTTCGCCTCATCCTGCTCCTCATCCTCGTCCTCCCTCCTTATGATGCCTCCCTCCCTCCTAGACGCCACCTTGGGAACCGCTTCGCCAAGGAGGCCACCTTGGACACCCGCAGGTCAACCCCTCAGACAAATTGCTGCAAGGAATCGGCACAGCACTGACGGGTACGTCTTCAGGGGTGTTGTTCGATATTTCCCCTCTCCGTTCCGACTTACGGCCGCTAGGTGCCTCCCGTGTGTTGGCACCGCCCAGCACCATTCCAGCAGGCCAGCGGGCGTGTCAGGGATGGCGCATGGCCCCTACCAACCTCGCTGGCTTAAGGTTGGTCTCCTCCTCCTCCTCCTCCTCCTTCATCTTCTTCACTCTTCCCCCCCTCCTCTTCCTCCTCCTCCTCCTCCTCCTCCTCCTCCTCCTCCTCCTCCTCCTCCTCCTCCTCCTCCTCCTCCTCCTCCTCCTCCTCCTCCTCCTCCTCCCCCCCTTCTCCTCCACTCTTCCTACTTCTTCCACCTCCCCCCTCCTCTCACGAAGTTCGAGGACCGCCGCACTGCCCCCCGCCCCGTGCCGCCCTTCTGCTCCGACCTCCTCCCCCCTCTCCTTGACCGTGCTCCTGGGGGAGGCCCACCCCGCCGCTTGCAGGGCAAGGCCTCCCCGCCCCCCCCTCCCGCGGAGCGTCCTGAACCATCAGGGGCTCCCCTGCGGATGGCGGCAGCGAGGCGCAGGGGTGGAGACGCCGCCCCATCGCTCCCGCGGGCAGGCCCAGGATCCCAGGGCCCCTCCCTCGTCCATGCCACTGCGCAGTGGAGGCCAGCAGGGCCTGGCGGTGATCGGCTGTTGGCAGTGCAGATCATCTCCCCAAAGCGCTTTTGTCTTTGACCCCCTCTCCGTCATTCCTCCTCCTCCTCCCTCTTCCCCTCCTCCTCCTCCTCCTCCTCCTCCTCCTCCTCCTCCTCCTACTCGCTTCCCCCCCTCCCCTCCCGCACCCCCGCCCAGCTGCTTCGCAGGCCGACCTCACGCCCCCAATCCCCGAGCTCCCCCCCAGAAGTGGGGCCCGCTCCGAGAAGAGGGGAAGGTGGGGATACGCTCCATGGAGGCCAGCCCGGACACACACACACACACACAAACAAAAACACACACACACACAAAAACACACACACACACACCGGTCGAGGATGCACGCCCCCAAGTCGCATACCCCCGAGTTTTGCCCCGAACTTGCTGTCCAGTCGAAAACCCTATACACAAAGCCGGCGATGGGGGACGCACTGCTGCCTTGGGAGGCTCCTCCCGTGGCCACCTGTTCCGCTAACGCGGTACGAGTCTGAGACTTGGGCCAAGGGAGGGGACCCAGCCGGGATCGGTGCTGGTGTACAGCGTCGCCCCAGATTCGGGACGATCGAGATCGGTACGGAAAGAGGCGGTACAGAGACCGACAGCGTTCCTTGTTCATTTTGAACAGGGCTCGCTGTCGGCGTCGCTGCGGACGTTGTCCCCTTGAGACAGAAGGCTGCCTGCCGAACAGCGGCCGCTGATGGTTTTGGCCAACACTTGTTGTTGGGCTTTGTTCCCATGTTTTCCGTACCCATTTCGGGCGTCCAAATAGGCGGCGGGCGCAGGGGATCGGCTCGAGCTAGTCCGAGGACAAATCCGTTCCGCAGCGCTCGCAGAGCGTTCCCGAACGCCCTGGGAAGGCCGCGGCCCGAGACATCCTCCAGAGCCGCTGCCTCTCAGAGTTTCTCGACTTGCCGTCCCCAAACGTTATCCTCAGGTCGGGCATGTCCCCTTACCAGGCGCATTTCGGGCGAACAAGAATGAAACATCGTCCAAACATTCTCCCAAATGCTGGATGATTCCCCCTGTAGAGGGACACGCCCGACTTAATGTTACCCTCGCCCTAGCCGCGTCTTATGGGGGGCAGTGATAAGGAGCAGGAGGAGGAGGAGGAGGAGGAGGAGGAGGAGGAGGAGGAGCAGGAGCAGGAGAGGAGGAGGAGGAGGAGGAGGAGGAGGAAAGCCGCCGCATCTCACAGTTTCTCGACTCGCCGTCCCCCGATGTTATGTCCTCGCCCTGGCTGCGTGTCCTTAGGGGAGGGGCCAGGCCACGGGAGGCCCGCGAGCGCTGCCTGCGTGCGCGGGTGGCCTCGGCCCCCCGCCGCCGGGAGAGCGCGCCGCTGTAGCGCGCGGGGTGGGGGGGGGCGGACGAGAGAGAGCAGAGGTGCTCGTGAGCTGCTCCTCGCCTCCTCCTCCTCCACCTCCACCTCCTCCTCCACCTCCACCCTCCTCCACCTCCTCTTCCTCCTCCTCCTCCTCCACCTCCTCCACCTCCTCCACCTCCTCCTCCTCCTCCTCCTCTTCCTCCTCCTTTTCCTCCTCCTCCTCCTCCCCTCCTCATGCTACCTCCACCTCCTCCTCCTGCCTCCTCCTTCTCCTCCTCCTCCTCCCCGCCCTCCTCGTTCCCTTGCCCTTCCCGCCCTCTCCCTGCCCTTCCGCCCGCTTCCTTCCGCCGCCGCCACCCCTTCCCTGTTGCTGCAGTGGAGGCCCATGCCAAGATACGCCATGCTTGCCTCTAGTGTGTCCTGGGCTTCCTGGACTTCGATGGTGCTGCTGTGGAGAGCGTGCCGTTCCCACACCGAAATATCAAGGGGGGCCCTGGGGTCTCAGGGCTGGGTTTCTCGTGGAAGGTGGTTTCCTGTGGTCGAGCTGCTACTGTATCCACCCCTCTTACGTCCGACCTGAGAGGATCGGGCGAAGAATATTGCACCACTTGCACCGGTCCTCGCGAAGAGGTTTTCACGACTCGCAATGTTCAGAGCGTGATTTACTTGCCCCGATTTCGCTTCGAGGCAAAACCAAGTCATACCAATCGCCTCCTCGTCAAGCGGCCTGACCAGTACAGGCCGTAGTTTGGCATCGCTTGGTATCTCTTGGAAGCGAGGGTGGTCAAAAGCGAGGTAGGTTTGTTTTCCCCCTAAATGCAACTGCTTGTAAATGGTTTGGATCCGCCGCGGGGGAATCACGACCCATCACATTGGGGCAAACAGGTGTTTTGTTTGGAAGCTTGCGAGTAGGCACTCTGCGAGTAGTGGAACACGCTTGGTGTGATCCTGTCCTGGGCCACGGATCGGTTCACATGCCTCACTGGTCAAGCCAGGAGGGCGTATGCACCGATCTTGGGCTCAGGGTGGGCTTGGCCAGGGTCCGTTCAGGATCCGGATAGGGAAAGGAGCGAGGTGTTCGACGAGGGCTTGACGCCGCAAGGCGGCGGCGGCTGCGGCTTGACTCCCCGCCTGTGGACCGCCTGGTCTTTTTGGTAGTGGGTTCTCTCGTGCTTGTGTTTGGACGGTGGTTTTCGTCTCCCTCGCTGCCCTTCTCAGGAGTTCTTCTTCCCCCCCACACAGTTGAGGACTACCATAGGCCTCACCAGTGAGGACCGCCATGAGGACCCACACCCTCCGCAGCTCCCATCCTAGGGCCCCCGTGGGGCAAGTCCCCACGAACCTGGCACCGTGCGTGCAGTGCCCAGGGTGGCAGCCCGTCTTCCCGTCCCACCGAGCCCCTGTAGACGGGACGGAGTGGGCACGAGTGGGCATCATAGCTGGCTCCAACTCACAAGAGGCATCGTAGCCCCATCGCCCATCCCATCATTGAGTTCATCCCATGCGTCGCATGCTGTCCCCGACGGCGGGATTTTTCCAGAGGTCTCCACGCACTCTACGGTCAGCGTCCCTCTAACGTGGACTCCCCTAACGAATACTTTGGCCAGTGATCCGGCGAACCCAGCGTTGCAATGGCAGATGGAGGCCCAAAAGTGTCAATTGCGGCAACTCTTCCAAGCACTAGTACAAGTTAGTGAGTACCCGTTACGGTGCCACTGATACGGGACCAGTTTTTCTCCCGCGTCGTTTTTTGTCGCCCCCTTGGCCCCAAAGCTGAAAATGGCCCAAAGCGTCCCGCCGCTGTTTTGTGTAGGTTTCGACGCGAGGGCACGGATTGGTTTCGCGGAAAGGCACGTGGGCGCAAATCGGTTTGAACTGCGGCGGTTGGGGACGAGACACGATGCCCGCAACTGAGATCACACTGCGTCGCGATTGAGAGAACACGCGTCGCCGCGTCGCGAAGGAACGGGTCATCACTCGCGTGGCCGCGTCGCTGATCCAAGGAACACCCATCTGCGATTCGAGGATTTCGAAGACGCTAAATGCAGCGCGCCTTACCCGCGGATCCTTGATGACACGCTGCGGACGCTGACTCGACGTCTGGTACATGGGAGCTTGATGGGTGGGGGCTCCCTCAGGGGGATGGAGAAGGAAGAGGAGGAGGAGGAGGAAGAGGAGGAGGAAGAGGAGGAGGAGGAGGAGGGGGAGGAGGAGGGGGAGGAGGGGGAGCAGGGAGGAGCTGGAGGAGGAGAGAGGAGGAATGAGGATCATGGAAGGGTCGAAGCTTCTCATGGGCGGAGGGGGGCTGCGGCCGAGGAGCCCGAGAGGAGGTGGGGCGGGGCGGGCGCACCCGCGGAGAGGCGCGCCGGCGGCCCTGCGGCGCCGCGCCTCCCGCGCCGCGCCCTGGGGCGGCCTCGGGAGGCGCTCCGTGGCGGCCCAGCGGGCGCGGGCGCGGAAGGGAGATGGTGATGGTGATGGTGATGATGATGATGATGATGATGATGATGATGATGATGATGATGATGATGAGGATGATGGTGATGATGAGGATGATGATGACGATGACGATGACGATGCTCATGATTACGATGGTGACGGTGATGATGATGATCGTGGAGATGATGATGCTGATGATGTTGATGATGTTCGTGATGATGAAGAGGATGGTGGCGAAGATGATGATGATGGTGATGACGCTGGTGACGATGAAGAGGATTGTGGTGATGATGATGACGCAGGAGGCGATGAAGAGGATGATGATGATGATGATGATGGTGATAATGTTGATGATGATGATGATGATGATGATGATGATGATGATGATGATGATGATGATGATGATGATGGTGCTGGTTATGATGATGGTGGTGGTGGTGATGATGAGGAGGAGAGGGGGGACGATGGCGATGGCGCTGGCGATGCTGATGCTGATGCTGATGCTGATGCTGATGAGGATGATGCTGATAATGATGATGAGGATGAGGAGGGTGACCGCGATGATAATGGTATTATTGGGGATGATGACGATGGCAATGACTGGGTTGACGATGGGGATTGCGATATTGATGCCTATAATGATGCGGCTGATGATGCCGATACGGAGATGGTTGATACTGATGGAGGTGATGGCGGTGGTGACCGTAATGACGATGATGACGATCACGAAGGGGATGGCAATGGTGACGATGATGCTTACGACAATGATGATGAGCGCGATGGATGAACATGATTTCGATGGCAATGATGACGATGGAGATGGCGATACAGATTTTGATGGTGATGATGATGATGCTGATGGTGATGCTGATGCTGATGATGATGATGATGATGGTGGTGGTGATGTTGATGACGCTGGTGGTGATGATTTCGATGCCGATGATGACGATTACGATTGCGGTGATGATGTGTATGGTGACGATGCTGGTTATGCTGATGATGGTGATGCTGAGGATAGCGATGATGGTTATGAGGAGGATGCTGATGACGACGATGAAGCCAATGACGATGGTGACGAGTCTGATGATGATGATGGTGACGACGATGATGATGCCGTGGAGAATGATTATAATGAGTATCCTGATGGTGGTGGTGAGGAGGATTAGGATGAGGAAGATGATGATGATGGTGGTGATGACGATGATGATGATGCCGATGACGATGACGATTAGGTTGATGGTGGTTGTGATGATGCTGAGGATGATAATGCTGATGATGATGACGACGCTTCCGTGGATGATGACGATGCTGATTACGATGATTATGATGATGATGATGGTGATGATGATGAAGATGATGATGCTGATGATGATGATGATGATGATCGGAAGATGGAACATATACATTACCAGTGGCGGGCTGTTTTTCAATCCCAGGACTTCTTGAGGATCGAGGACGGCGCTGGGGTAGTGTGGTGTATATGTTGTTCCCCGATGTCCCCTGAAAACAACCAAACATGTATACACCACGGTCCCGTATACACCAGGATCCGCTCTCCAGTGCAAATTCCAATGCAGGGCCGGCAGAAGCGTCGGTGTACAGTGTTGACGATGACGATAATGATTTTGATGAGGGTGTTGCTGATGTTGGTGATGCTGATGATGATGATGATGATGATGATGATGATGATGATGATGATGATCCTCATCATCATCATCATGACGACGACGATGATGATGGTGATGCTGATGCTGATGATGATGAAGATGGTGAATGGGGGGGGCGAAGAGAGGAGGAGGAGCAGGAGAGGCAGGAAAAGGAGGAGGAGAAGGAGGAGGAGGAGAAGTTGAGGGAGCAGGGGGAGGAAGAGGAGCAGGAGCAGGAGGGGAAGGAGTAGGAGGAGGAGAAGGAGGAGGACCAGTGTAAACCCAAGACTCAGCAAGGATGTTGGAAGACACCCTTCCTTCGAGCTCCCTCTTCATTGTTTTTTACAAGGGCTCATTTCCACTGAGGGAACTGCCTCGTTGGGAGAGACCCGTTTCAAGACCCTGAAGCATGCGAAAACACCATATTGGGACTCCAACGCCACGGATCAACCTGATCGTTGCGACTTGACAATCTTGAATGGAGCCAGAACGCGGTTTCTGGGAATCCAACACCGCGAATCAACGTATCATTTGCACCCTCACAATCTTGAGTTCTTCAAGATTTTAATTTCTGCTACGTTGGCCGTGGGAATCAGTGAAATTCTTGCAGATGTTGAAGACGAATGCTCGCGGCGCTGAGGCGAGAGCTACATTTTGAAAACGAGCCGCACTCAATCTATGCACTTCTTGTGATGTTTGAAGCGAATGTGCGCGGCGCTGAGGCGAGAGCCACGTTTTGGTGAACACGAGCCGCCCTCAATCCGCAAAGCTCTGACCATCTTTTAAAACGAATATGCGCGGCGCTGAGGCGATAGCCACATTATGAAAACCGCCCGCTCTCAATCCGTGAAACTCTTGCAAACATTGAAGACGAATGTGCGCGGCGCTAAGGCGAAAGCCACATTTTGAAAACAGCCCGCCTTCATTTTGCGAAACTGTTGCCAAGGATTTGATGAGGAAGTCTCAGGCGAAACGCCCGGGCCGCCCATTCGATTGGCCTCGGGGTGCGACAGGGAAGAGTCACTCATGGAACGGAAGAGGAGTTGGAGATGGAGATGGAGGTGGAGGAGGTGGAGGAGGAGGAGTCGGAAGAGGAGGAGGAGGAGGACGAATTGAGGGAGCAGGGGGAGGAGGAGAAGGAGGGGGAGGAGGATGAGGAGGAGAAGGAGCTGGAGGAGGAGCGAGAGTGGAACGGATGTTGAAGTCGTGGGAACGGAGGCTGGCCGAGCGGCGCGCCGAGTGGGGCCCGTGGGACTGGGCAGGCCTTCTCCGGCGGTGTCGGGGCCCCGGAGAAGCCCCAGAAGAGGGGGCTTCCCAGAAGGCCGGGGGCCTTCTTGAGCCTTCTGCGGAGGCCGGGCCCCTCTGTCCCCCCCCTGGGCAAAGTGGGGCCGATGACTCGGGTTGGACGGACGGGGTAAAACGACGCGAAGATCGGGACAAAATCGGATCGGGATAACTCGAAGTCTCTGAGAATCGGCGGGTTTGGATGATGTATTGGGCGCCGCGGCCGCTCCAGAGCGTTCCGGAACGCTCTGAGAGCGCTCCGGAACGCTCTGGAGCGATTTATCCCGGCCCTGCTTTACGGGGGGGAAGGGAAAGGCGGGGGGAGGTGCGGACCCGGCCGCGCGCAGCTGGCTGAAGGCCCCGCCGCCGGGCGCTTTCCTCGCTGCGCTGGGAGGCGCGGGCGGATCCGGCTGCGCGAGCTGACTCGCCCTAAGCCCCCTTTGGAGGTCAGTTCTTTCTGATCCGGTGAACCCGCAACGCCCGTCATCGGGAGCCTTGAGACGGGGGTCAACGCAAACGGGGGTCAGCCAGTGCACCGGATCCTGCAGGATCCTGCGAAGACCCCCTCTGGCTGACCCGGGTTATCGAGCCGCTCGTGGCCGAGAGGCGGCCGCGCATATTGGCCGACCCGGGTTTGCGAAGACCTGCGTTGCAGTTGTTTTTGTTCCTGCATTGCAGTTTTTGGTTTCCTGCTGACCCGGGTCTGGATTGACCCGGGTCAGAAGATCCCCGACGTCGCGGGGGAGGCCCCCCCCCCTTGCCCCCCTTGCCCCGTGACGGTGCCGAGCGTAAGCTTTCGCGGGGAGGGGGGGGGGTCGGCCCGTCCCCCGACAGGCCTCGCGCGGTGCTCACGGGCATGCCGTGGTGCTGCCAGGCAAGCTTCAATCAGGAGGGGATAAAGATCACACAGACACAATTATTCAGGGGGCCACATGCGAACCCTACCCCTGCCCCGCACGATTTCTGAGGGGGAGGGTGGGGTTCATGTCATTCGCGAGCCCCCGAACGAAGCACCCTCCCCCTAAGAAATCGTGGGGGGTAGGGGTGGGGTTCGCATGTGGCCCCCTCATTAATCGTCGACTCCCAAGAAAATGTGGAAAAATATGGGCAGTGGGGGGGAAACGAAAATCCCAAAACTATTGGAAAATATATGGAATACTGTTAGTTGTGTGTGTATTTATTTGTGTGTCCTTGGGCCCCTCGATTCTGGTGGTCACGTGCATGCCCGAACCGCCTTCACAATCCCCCCCCTCCCGTGGCGGAAGTTGCGGGGGGGAGGGATAACACTGCGCATCTTTCCGGTGCTCCTTCCTCCGTTTAGCTGCAATCAGGGCGTCTGTAAACGGGGTGGTAGCTCAGGGTGCGTTTTCAAATGTGCTCTCGAAAACTTGACTTGCCGCGCGCAAGCGCGAGGTCACCCCCCCCGGCCAGGAGCTACGACGAGGCGTCGCCGATGTCGTCGTCCCGATGCATCGCGCACCAGTGCGAGGTAGCTGCCCCGTCGCCCTGTATGCTCGCTCGCAGAGCCACCCCGTTTGCTCTTCCCCCCTGGCTGCAGGGGCTGTTGCGGCCTCCAGGGGGGAACGTGTACGCGGGGGGGGCGCAGGGCCCGGAGGAGTCCGCCCAGGGCGCCCCCCCGAACGCTCGCTCAATGTGGAGCGGCAGCTCCGCCGCATCGCAGAGATCCCTCCTCCTCTGCTTCCTCCTCCTCCTGTTGTCCCAGTCTTCGCCTCGTCTTCCTCCTCTTCGTCCTCCTCCTCCTCCTCTCCTCTTCGTCCTCCTCCTCCTCCTTCTTCTCCTCCTCCTCCTCCTCTTCGTCCTCCTCCTCTTCGTCCCCTCCTGAGGAATCCGCCCAGGGCGCCCCCGAACGCTCTCACAGTGGAGCGGCAGCTCCGCCGGATCGCAGAGATCCCGCATGTGTCCCTGCCCGATGTTCCGGGGGCCCCCAAAGGGGGTGGTGATAGGGGAACAAAAAGTGGCATAAACATAACAACTCGGAGGTCCGCGCGGATTTCTCGGATCGGCGCTGGGGCCCCCCGGCGGCGCCTCCGGCGCCGCCCCTGGCGCGCTCCGCGCGCCAGGGAGGGGGGTCCAGCGCGGATCCGAGAAATCCGCGCGGACCTCCGAGTTTTTATGTTTATGTCACTTTTTGTTCCCCTTGGTGACCACACCGTGCGGTGAGTCGGTGGGGATTCGGGGTCACCGCACGGTTTTGGGACTCGGGTCGTTCTCCGAGGATGTCTCGGGCGACCGAAGCATGCGAGGTCCCAAAACCGTGCGGTGACGGACCGTGCGGTGAGGTCTCTTGGAATTCCGAGGTCACCGCACGGTCGGTCACCGCACCGTTTCGGGACTCCAAAATTTGTCCCTGCTGGATGTTGTCCCAGTCTTCGCCTCGTCTTTCGTTTTTTCTGGCCCCCGAGGCCTTCGAAAGCAGGGTGAGAAACAGCTGTCCCAGGGAAGGGGTCGGCATTCCTCGGGCCGCAGATGGAACACATACACGTACACAACCTTGTCGGACGTCTGGGATGGGGAACCCCGACGGGCAATCTCTACGAGGGACGAACCTATATCTTCTCGAACCGGGGCGACGGAAGCCCAGCAGCCCGCGAAGAATCAGGCTTGAGGCTCCTCTCGAGTGCGTAGAGAGGCCTCCATCTTGAAAGGGCCGACCTCAGGATCGAGGCCAGGCAGGACAGAAACTTTTCCGTCGGCGGCGAGGCAGAGGCAGTACGCACCAGCGCGGGGCGAATCGGGGCAACCCATCGGCGAACTGGCCGGCGCGCGGGGAAGGAGCGGCGAGCAGGGCGGCCGCGGCACTACAGCAACGTGCACTTCAATGAAGAAACGGGTGTCTGCCCGCAGGCGCCCCACCGAGAGTGTCTGATTCCCCGCTGGCCTGGGGGATCCTCCTCCTCCTCCTCCTCCGCCTCGTCCTCGTCCTCCTCCTCGTCCTGCCCCCCCCCGCCCGCTACCACGACCCCTCCCAAGAGGAGGACAAGGAGACAGCTGGAGGCCAACAGAGTTCCTGGGGCACGCCATTTTTGCAGACCGCTGCCCCCGGAAGGCCCGACCTTTCCCCCAGTGCCAGTTTTCCATCGCGGGTCGTTCTCTGTCGACGGTCCCGGAGCCCGACGAGGGCCCCCTGGGGCCGAAAGCATCCCGTCGTGATTGTCTTACGACGGGCTGCCTGCGAACGCGTCATCGCCCTAGGATGCAATTCCTGGGAGCTTGAATTCTGACTCGGCGATGCTATATCCCTGGTCGGAAAGTGGCCGGATGTGGCTTGATCCGGCTCCAGCTTCCTCCCGCGCGTTCGAGCTGAATGAACTCCCGGAATGTGTTCCGCACTATCCGGCTTCATCCCAGGCTTAGTCCAGCCTGGTGCGGCTGAATGGCTTTTAATCGGGCTTGCTAGCCTTCGATCGTTCTGATGGAGACCAGGAGTTGCCCCTTGAATTTTCGGGCTCATGTCAGCTAAAATTCCCCGCCGCTCTGGCAGGGGGGGCGCAGGCTGGAGTAAGGCCGACCCCAACCCTTTCGAACCGCTCACGAACTAGATGTGGCTGATATTACAACCGCTGGAAGCCGACGGATGCCAACCTGAAGGATTCTTGTATTCATGCTACAGGGAGAGCGCAAGCTAAAAACCCGAGGAAGCCTCTGAGAAGCCTCCAGTCGGGGCGCTGAAGAAGGAACCCTTCTCGTTGGGGAGGGGCTCGGTGTTTCCTTGTTTGTTTTACAGTTTGGCGTTGGTTTTCCTGAGGTCTTCGATGGGAAATCGAGGTTGAACTTATGGGAAGAAGGGGCCTCGTTCCTGATTTAGGGTTCCTTAGGTCAACGCCCCGACTGTATGGGAAGAAGCCTCTCCCCTGGGGCTCGGCTCCTCGGCGGAGCCGCTGTGGCTCCGAGAGAGGGTGCCCCCGCCGCGCCGCCCGAGGGGGACGCGGTCCCCTCCCCCCTCTCCCCCCCTCCCCCCCCTCCCCTCCTCCCCTCCTCCCTCCCTCCTCCCCCCTCCCCCTCCCCTCCTCCCTCCCTCCCCCCCTCCCTCCCTCCCTCCCTCCCCTCCCTCCCTCCCTCCGCCGGGGCCGCGGCCACCACAATGGCGCGGTCGGGCCCGGCCCGCCGCGGTGGCGGCAGCAGCGGCGTGGCCGCCGGGGAGGACTCTTCGAGCAGTGGCGAAGCATCCTGGTTTGCCTATAGTCAGAGCCCCGAATCATCATGGGTAACTCGGGTCAGGGCTAACTCGTGTTCCTTTTTCGGGAATCCAAACTCGAGTTTACCCGGACCCGAGTCGGGCGCCCAACGCTTCGAGCAGTGGCGAAGCGTCCTGGCTTGACTATGGGCCCACCGAAGAATGTTCTGAGAACCTTTTGGTGGCTTGCGCGAGGTGCTTTTGGAGCAGTTCAGGCGCTGAGACTCTCTTGCTCTGATTTTTATCGGCTGCACGTTCTTGGAGCACTGCTTTTGTTATTGGAACGTCCTTGTTGCTCTAACAATATGCATGTGGTCGGCCTCCAGGGGCCCTCGCCAGGCCCCGCGGCGGAACTGCAAGACATACGACGCCGACGACTGTTCCTGGGAGCCTCTGGCGGCGACGTTGGAACCAGCTCTGCCTGCTGTTGGACCGCGTTCGGGCAGCTTCGGGCCCCCTGCTTCCTGCTCTTCCTTGCATGCCCCTCCTGGCCCTCCCCCCCCTCCGGGTTCTTCTCTAGCCTCCCTTGTGAACAGGGGCGAGGCTGGCGCAGACGTGGCCCAAGTCTTGCCCAAGCGTGCTCCAGATCCGGCCCACCTCGGGCCCAACGCGGACTTCGCCGGGGGGGGGGGGGCGCTGCCATGGAACGACGCAGAGATCCGATACGTCGTGATCTTTTCCATGCGCGGTCCCTGGCAGTCTTGACGCATTCCCCAGGACCGGCTCTTCCTCCCGAGTCGTTTTGTGACGGTCCCGAAGCCCGGCGAGGGCGCCTCGGGCCCGAAATTTTATAAGAAAGCCCACGTTTTGATGGTTTAACCATGCGCGGGAGCTCTGGGGACGCTATAGCGACGACCCAGGGGGGCAGAAACGGGCCCCAAAGATGAGGTCCAGCCGGGACTTTCCGGAGGTGGTGGTCCTCGTCGTCGTGCTCGTCGTTGTTGTCGTCGTCCTCGCGTCGTTGCTGGCGCCGTCGTCGTAGTCGTGATTCTGCGTCGTCGTGGTCGTGGTCGTCGTCGGCGTCGGCGTCGTTTTCGCACGGAAGCAGCCGGGGTGTCGCAGCTGCCTGCCAGGGCGGGCGGCGCTTCTCCGCTCCGCTGGATCCCCCTGGCGGCGCCTCCGAGGCCGCCGGGCGCGCTCCGCGCGCCAGGGAGGGGGTTCCTCCTCCTCCTCCTCTCCTCCTCCTCCTCCTCCTCCTC